AAAGGAACAAGTTAGTAATGCCTTTACTCTGTATTTTCTGCTCCTCTAGTCACTGTGCCCTCATCTGCAAGCAAAGCCCCCCTTTAACGTCCTTGCAAGGCGGCACTGACTGCCAGCGCAGCACACGGAACAGCGAAACAAAGGACAAAGCATGTCAGTCAGAGCTGTTGTGGATCAGTCCAAACTTGAAATGCTTCAAATTTTAAATGAAATCCTGCTCTGACCCAGAAAGATACACAACACTGATAAATAAATCTGTGTATCCAGTACATTCAGAAAAGGCTGCGGGTAACAGACTCTTACCTCCCACATAGATAGACGCCTAAAGTCAAACTCCCTCTTCTTGCTTTTAGCTTCTGTGCGGTGATCAGAATCTAAAGCAAGTCAATTTTTAACAGCAGCAGTGTTTCTCCAGCTGAACGAGAACACTCCTGTTGGTCCCCCGTGTGCGTTTCTGTTAAGTTGTGGCATGACCGGTGGTGCGGCCCCCTGGACATGTGGGAAAGTGAGCGGAGGATCTGCCACAGAGTGAAACTCATGCAGATAATGATTCTTCTCACATGATTTAGGTTATAAATAAGTGAAGTACGGCATTTCTGGGTTCTCATTCAAAGGAAGCATATTTTAATCTGATATCCCTTCAACTTGCACCTTTCCCAGGAAGCTGTAGATGACAGTTTGATCAAAGCACCATGTTGTTTTTGTTTAAAAAAATAATATTGAGTCATACAGACATACGTTACGGTCCAAAAGATTATAAGCATTTTTAGGTAAATCTAAGCTTTTGATGTAAGGCCATTGGTTACACTGATCAACTTTGGTATCTGGAAACTGTTAGGAGCCATTAGTTATCATTAATGTTCTAAAAGCAGTATTCTAACTGAAATTTGAGTTTCTCGACTAGTGATGTTTTTTCTGTATTTGAAAAAAATTTATTTTCTGTATAGTCTTGTTTTCTCTGGATGTACCAGAGCAGCATCTTACAGGTTTCTAAGTCTTGAAGTTTATCAGGGTGCAAGTTGCCAAGCGTAACTTGCACAGCCAGGTTGGGTGCGGGCCGCCGGGTCAGAGCACTCACCCCCAGGGCCACAGCCTAGGTCCAGCACATGAAGCCATGAGCTGCTTACATCCATCTCATATTTTAATGTCTAGATTTATGGAAAACTTACAAACCGAGGTCCAAGAAATGGAGTTCCTGCAATTTTCTAAAGGTTTGAGTTTCATGAGAAAAGAAGACTTTGCAGAGTGGCTCCTTTTCTTCACTAACACTGAAAATAAAGACGTTTATTGGAAAAATGTGCGAGAGAAGTTGTCAGCAGGAGAGGTTGGTATCCCTTTTTATTATGCTCATGATGCAGATAAAATAACGCTAATGTATTTATAAAATTAAATAACTTTATTATTAATCAAAACTAAGATTAATCAAAACTAAGCTGCTCTCTGTTATTTGAGTGTAAGATTGAATTGAGGAATGTTCTTCACGTACTGTTTTCTTACGAAGGAAGTGCTGCCTAGGACAGACCCCGTGTAGTGGCCGCAGCCGTGCACCCAGTGCAGGGGGGGTGCACCATCGCCCACCACCTTCTCATGTCTGGGAAGCTTACCTGGCCGGTGCAGATCCACAGGATAGAAGAGTTAGAAGTGTGAGCGGCGGCCGTTGTCTTTGCATGTGATGTGATTACAGGAGAACCCAGGAGAATCAAACTGAAAAGCCATCAGAAGTTGCGTTCAGCACAGTGCGTGTCACAGTGCTGCTCTCTTGGGAGCAGCTGTGCAGACGACAGGCCAGAAAGTGTAACAGCACATGTGTGTGCAGGTGTGTGCGTGTGTGTGTACACAGGTACTGCGGAAGTGATGACTGCTAAGCTGTAATAACAGTTAGTGTACAGTGCTAAGATTTCAAGTGATTTTTACTTTATTGTTCCAAAATTTTTTTTGAAATGGGCGTATGTTTTTATATAATTTTTAAAGCTATCTCTGTAGTGGAAAAGAAAGATAATAAAATATAAGAAAAATGTCATTTCAGTAGAGATATATAACAATTAGAAATAAATTTAACAAGAAATACATAGAAAACTCTTTAAAGCCTTGATGGATGTAAAAGAAAACTTACCTAATTACAGAGACTTCCCGTTACTGAGTGGAAAGTCTTAGCATTACAAACACAGCAGTTGTCCCCTAAGTTAGTCTGCAAATGTAGTGTTAAATGAGTCTGAACAGCACAGGTTCTCTGCCCTCACACATCAGGTCTGAAACCCTGTGGCTGACAGAGGGGAGGTCGCCTTCTCAGTCACGCTGTTTCCCTTGTGGCCCGTGGGGGACCGGACTCTGAGGCTCTGCCCCTCAGAGCCCCACCGTCTGGAAGAAACGCCACCCTCCAAGGCTGCGCAGGAAAGCAAGGACTATGTCACCGTCCAGCAGTGAGCGTTTGAACCCGGACGTGTCACGTGGCTGCTGGCCAGACAGACAGCATGACACACCTGACTACGTGGAGGAGGGGACGTGCGGGAGTCAGGAGGGAACCAGAGCTTCACTGCAAGTGCTCTGGGGTTCTCAGGAGCGGGCCAGACAAGCCACTGGAGTCTGTGAAACTTCGGAGGGGCAGGGGTGCCTGGAAATTCCTGCCCCGTCCCCATACTTTTGCTGTGAACCTAAACTGCTCTAAAAAAATTAAGTCTTTAAAAAAAGAAAATGCTGAGATAGTAAGATGTGTCACCAAATATTGGAACCAAAGTGTTACCAACAGTGAATCTGACCAACAAATCAGTTGAACAGACTATCAAGTCGGAAAGAGATACAGTTACACTGGGAAACTTGCTGTGTATAAACTCAGATTGCGATGAGCTGGGTGAGAGAAGAACCAGGAGGAAGTGGCACTGGGACAGTTCACTGGCCATCGGAGGGGGACGTGGACGTGGACCTCTGTCCCTCTCAGGCCTCAGGTGCATTCTGCGCGGGTCAAAGTTAGGAGGAGAACGACACTGAGGACGTACAAACACTGGAGCGGTGTCCTAGCATGCGTGCTAAGCAAAACCCAGAGACTCCAGTGAAGTGGTTAAATTACTACCTAAAATTTAAAAGTCTGTTGCCTCCCTCATCCCCCACAAACTACTCAAAGTCAAAGAAAAAAGGAAAAATTAACAAAATGAGGGGAAATACTGGCCTCACGTTTAATAAGCCAATTTCTTTCATTTATAGTGAGATATTAAAAAATCAGGAGTTGAAGGGTCTTTCTACCCTATTTAATGTATAATGGGGTCTTAAAAATCAATGTGCTAATTACCCAGCGTCTGGACTTCATGTACTTGCAAGATGTGTGTACCACTGCACCTCCTCACGGGCATCGGCTGGGTCAGAGCCAGAGAAGCCTGTCATTCCTGGGTCAGTGGCAGCACAGGCCTCAGGTTTGTCCCCGTCCGCCGAGGCCCACGCGGTGGGTCTGCGCTACAGCCAGGGAGCCTGGGTCTTCCATGACCGGCAGCGGGCGAAGCTGTCCTCTGCCCTGAGGGAGCCACGTCTCGTTCCAGGCTGCTGACTGTGCCGACGTCCTGGGAGGGACCGTCCGGAGCAGAGAGGAGGCAGCCCTGGTCTGGAAGACGTGCAGAACACGTGGTGCGCTGTCTCCCAGCTGCAGGGCCCTGGCGCCCATCAGACGTCTGGGCGGAGGACACAGGGGAGTCCACAAATGACCGATAAACATGCAAGTGAGAAGTGGTTAACTGTGTTACGGGTAAAACCATACGGAGGCCAACACTGACGACGTACCACTTCTCACCAACAGTAAAGCAAAAAAATCAGCAACTTTCCACCTAGTGGCTGCTTTGAGGTCATGATGCTGAGAAACAGCCACTCTTGTTTGTGTGGTGAGCATGAAGCCGGGTGTAGAAGTGTGTGGCGAGGACGCTCCCGCTGTGCGGGTCGGGGGTGTGCGTTTCATAGGCATAGAACGTTTCTGGAAGGATCCGGAAGGACGCGGGGCTCAAAGAGGGAAGAGCTCTTCTCATTTTTCATTCGTTGTGTTGTTGGGGTTTTTATTTACCATGTGTACATACTCTTCAAAAAGTTAAGTTGTAAAAAATAAAATTTGATAAACTCACAAACACTGAAACTTAAATAAGACACCACATGTGCAGAGGGCGTGGTCCTGAAGGTCTCTGCAAGGAGAAACTTTTTTTCAGGCCAGGAAGAATTTACTTTCAGAATAAGAATTTTTATACTGTTACTTTTTTAATGGAAAACTAGCTAAAAGATTTTCAAAAAATTTTTAAAAAACATTTTGTTTGTTTTGTTTTTAAGTGCATAGGTTTTAAATATACTTCAGTTTAAAACAAATCAGATGGACCAAGGTTTAAGTCCTGATCGTCCCATTCAGCAGACCGTAGGCAACACGCTTGATACTGGGAGGGCTGCCGCCCACGCAGAGGGCAAGGCCGCGCTGCAGCCCAGCAGGCCCGGCCAGCCCTGGACCCGGCACCCTGACTCGGGGCTGTGTCCCTGGGTGAAACTGAGCAGAAAGGAGGAGCCGGCCCCCAGCAGGACGTGGTAGCTGCCTCAGGCTGCTCCAGGCTTAAACAGCAAGTGTGTGTTCTCAGTTCTGGAGCCTGGAGGCCAAGGTCCAGGTACCAGCGTGCTTAGTTTCCAGTGAGGTCTGCCCGGCTGGCCAGCAGCTGGCTCCCCACACGGCCATTTCTCTCTGTGCACACGCAGGTGACAGCGCTCCAGTGGCTCCTCCTCCTGTCACCAGGACCTGTCCTGTCAGATCGGGGCCCACCCCAGGGCGTCTTCTAGCCACAACTACCTCTGCACAGGCCCCGCCTCCAAATACAGCCACACGGCCGGTGGGGGAAGGGTGGGGAATGGGGTGGTCAAGGCTTCAGCATGGGGCCTCTGAGGAGACGGAGGTGAGTCCACAGCACAGGCCCACCTCCTGGCACCCTGCACTCCTGGCTCCGGGCGGCCCCGCTGGCACAGTGTGCAGCCAGACTCAGCGGCCCCGCTGGGTGCCCCCCTGGGGCCCCTCCTCTGCTCTGAAATCTGTAGTTCTGTTCTTACTCTGCATCTCAGAATTTCTGACAGGCATGCTTAGAAAGATACAAGTTCGTAGACTTGATAGAAAAGAGGACTCACATTATATCTTTAAGATTATCATATTTACAAAATTGTAATAAAAAGTCACTTTGATATTTCATTAGAGCATTAGCTTGGATGAGTTCAAGTCCTTCTGTCACTTTGCGACCCACCTGGAGGACTTCGCCATCGCCATGCAGATGTTCAGCTTAGCTCATCGCCCTGTCCGGCTGAGTAAGTCGTGCGAGTCATTCGGTGTCGTCATCTGTAGGCAGTGTCGCTCTCTTCTTTAAGTAGTTACACCAGTCAGGGACCACTTACGAGCAAGACGAGTGATCGGCCAGTCAGTCAGTTCAGTGTGCTGATTCTCCGTGTTCGGCAGCAGCACTCACGTTTCAACAGTCACCTTACCTGCTTTTACTTTCTAATTTTTCTGCTGAGAAGCAGAAGGAAATATTTAAATATCTGCGTTCAAAACATCGATGAGATTAGAATAACCTGCTTATCTTGCGTTTACTTCCATGACATTTCTCAGCCAAATTTATTATTTGAACATGTTCTTGATGAGTATTTTTGTTTTGGTTTTACTTCCCAATAATAAATATATAGATGTTTTTGCTTCTCAAATAATGAGAATTTAGACTTAGACTATTTTACTTGATTGATGAGCTTTTGCATTTTCTCTCTGTAGCGGAGTTTAAGAGAGCTGTGAAGGTAGCCACGGGCCAGGAGCTCTCAAACAATATTTTGGACACCGTCTTCAAGATCTTCGATTTGGATGGTGATGAATGTCTCAGTCACGAAGAGTTTCTTGGGGTGTTAAAAAACAGGATGCATCGAGGCTTATGGGTAACAGACTTTGAATAATTACATGCTTTTATGTCATTAAGTGAACAGAGTTTGAGGAAATGTATAGTCCTCAGTGGGGTTCTCATCATTTTCTAAGGAGATTACAAGCTCTAATTGCAACACTGAAATATCTCCCACAGATGGGTCCACCATTCTTTGCTTTTTTTTTCAAACGTATGAATCTAACCAGAAACTACTGTTGAGAAATCATAGCCTAGAATTTTTCTCTGGGCTCCGTACGTGGACACCTAGGTCCGGGCCCCAGCTGTGTCACTCACTAACTGCCAGGTCTGGCAGAGCCGCTTGATTCTTCTGAGCCTCGGATTCCTCGTCTGCATAATGAGGACAGTGGTGGAACCTGCCAGAGAGTTATTATGAGAATTAAGTGTGAAATAATACTTGGTGGCTGACACATGTGAGTAAATGTTGGCTGGTGTCATCATTCACTCAGACTCGCATGGTGGTCTGTGACTATGGGACAAGTCAAACTCAGAATTTTGTTTAGATTAGAATCTGCTAGAAACACACAGGGACGCAGAGTGCAGGTTGAAGACGGTGGTCCAGGAGGACTATCTGCCGCGTAAGTAGGTGATCAGCCAGGACGGCGGAAAGGAGAACCAGAGAAAGAAGGTGGAGTGGTCATGAAACAGAGTTGTTTATTACAACCTAGAGGAGCAGGTTCATCTTCCTGCAGCAAACACCACTTACGAAAAATGAACAAATACACTTTCCACTAGCAAACGCGTTTTACAGCCTTGCGGTTATTCATCGTTAGGCATCACATTTCTGGAAATTCAGCCAACCTTCCCAGATAACAACTTTGTGTCCTCAGCAGCCTCTTTGCCATTTCTCAAAAAAATGTGTTAAACAGGAGAGCTGCCCGCCGGTGGCAGGAGAGGGTCACAAGTGCCCCTGCAGTAGGCCTGCGCCCCCACCCGGCGGGCCCGCAGCGCAGGGGCCACGTGCTGCCTGGCCCGTGCTTGCCGCTTAACCGGCGGGGCCGTGGCCGCGCCCACTTGTCTGAGTTGTAGTGCTGCAGCTTCAGACTTCTCATCAAGTGTGTGGTTACCTACAGTGTCTTTTGAATTTTAGCCAAGGTGAAATCAGGGTTTAAGGCTTGCAGTTTTCACTCCACATAGCTAAGTTCACAAACACCAGAAATGTTATAAAACATTATAAAAGGAAAACAGTATAAAATAATCACATTTTTAAACTAATGTATGAAAGAGACCCCCCAGGGTCTCTGCTGTCTCCTTAGGGAGGACTCTCCGTTCCATAGTTAGCCGGAGGGTGTTCTTACCTCACGTTCTCTTCTTACCTTTCACGCTTACTTTACAGCTTGTGTTGTGATCAGCTTTACCCCGTAATCCACCTCAGGTACCTTCAGAGTCACGGGGGGAACACACAGCAGCAAAGTGCATGTGAACCGTGCTTAACTTTGCAGACAGTGACCTTTTAATTCTTACTTTTGGTTCACAGGTACCACAGCAACTAAGTGTTCAAGAATACTGGAAGTGTGTGAAAAAAGAAAGCATCAAAGGAGTAAAAGAAGTCTGGAAACAAGCTGGCAGAGGCCCTTTATAGACAAGATAACGTGGGAATTGCTTTGCTCCGAGAGTCAGAATTGGGGATTTTTTCCAAGTCCTGGATGTTTATGGTCTAAAGTCCTCACTCTTTTCCTTTGTGATATAAATATGCCTTGTCCTTGCTTCTGATTCAGTAGTTTCTTAGAGTTCATTAAAGAGCTTAGTAAAAAGAAGTGTTCTTTTACGAAGACAAATAATTGGATTCTGTCAGAAGCGTGGGGTTGAAATAACACTTTGACTTTGATAAGATGGAACACCTAGTACTCACTGATTTCTCAGCACCGAGTGTTTTCTGGGAGAGTCCACAAGTATCCACCAGAAACGTCCCTGACACACGAGGCCAGGACCCAGCCTGCACGCCCTGGAGGTCCTGTAAGGACCCGTTTGCTTCAAACACTTCAGGTTTTCTCATCTGCACCTTACATTTCATGAATTCTCGTGTGTTGTATTTCAGGGAGCTGTGCGTTAGTTGTCTTAAAAAATAATATGTAAATTTCAGGATTCTATCTAGAGACAGAACCAACTATAAAGATAAAAAATTACAGAGGTACGTTTTGCATTTTTACATGTGCTGTTTCAAAACTATTTTTAACGAAATTCTCTCATTCATTGACAACCTCACTAGTTTGTATTCTTAAAATCTAGTGTAATTAGGAGAACCTTGATCACAAGATAAGGGTCTCTTGAGATAGATGGGCTATGGGTAAATGTTTAAAATGGTACTAGAAATTAATTGGCATTAATTGTAAAATGGCATATTTTAAACATGGCAAAGAAAAATTATTTTTTAATATGCTTCTCAAATAAGACTACTGCAGATATTTAAACCATGGTCCACTCGGGATAAAGAGCTGATTCCAAGGTGGGGCAGGGGAGGTTCAAGATGAGCCTGGAACATCAGAGGTGAGGGGACGGCGATCTTGGAAGATGAGGGCCAGCCAGGAGTGGGGTGGGCGGGGCGTCCTGGCCAGGTCTGGGACAGCTCGAGCATCACAGTGACAGTGCAGGGAGGATCGCAGCCTGCTGAATGAAGTGAGAGAGTTCATGAGCTTCCTCCGCAAATTGATTGATTGACTATCTGACTGACTGATTGATGGATGGATGGAGTAAGAGGAACCTCTCCTTACCATTGTGAAGGGATAAGGCCTTGTAACATGTGAATGTGAATATGCTAACTTGGAAGGCTCTCTTGTAATTTAATGGTTGAGATTGACAAGTGGTGGTAAAAGCTTTTGTCCAGTTATTTTTTAAAAATCGCCAATTAGATAAAAAATTGTTCTAACTCATTATTTTATAAATAATTTTTATTTATCTTATTATAAAAACCAAACCAAGAGAAAAAATAGACAATGCTAAAAAAGTAAAAGTACAGGCCTGCCGCCCGCACCCTTTCTCTGTTAGCCACAGAAATGCCATCTGACTCTCTTTGCCTGTCTGCCTGGCTGATGTTGTGGGTGAAGATCAGGATATAAAAAGCAAGAAGTTAGGGGGTTTTCTGGTGTCTTCAGTCTCACCGTAACCGTTCCAGTCCCTCGCCTGGCACGGCTCTTGCTGCCCGCCGAGCCCTGTACCCCACCTCTGTGGGGCTGCTTCCCCTGTGCGCCACTCCCCCAGCCCGTGCACTCGCCGCCCCTCCTGACCATGGTGCTTTTTCCTTTCTTGTCCTGGTGAAATTCTGGGTGTCAGATCCCTGTCCACAGACCGGGTTTGTCTCTGCCAAACTTACATCAGAGCTGGAGCCATGCCTCAGTCATGTCTACATCCCAGCCTGGCAGGGTCAATCCCACATCCTGCAGATGCTTGTTGAATAAAAGGAGGAGGAGAAGGAGGTCAGATGGTTTGTGAGACCTGCCAGGTTGCAGGTGACGAAAAGCAAAGGGTCCTGCTGTCACAGGACCTAGAGTCTAAAGTGAAGATGACATTTTAAATATTCAATGCAAATTGAGACGAAAAAATGGAGCACTGCTGGGGAACGAAAGAGTAGCCTTTCTTAAGCCAGAGTGTTCAGGAGGGTGAGGGAGCAGCTTTCAGTTCTTCAGAGTCAAGAGATGTCCTACCGCAAAAAAAGTCTGAAAATGAATCATTCATTTTTTTGTCATTATCATGTAATGGCTGCAAAACAACCTGGTCCCATTTGAAAAGAATCTGGATCACCTTTGTATGAAATAAGCAATCTGGACTGGACGGTGTGTCTTCTCGGGAGGCGGGAACACCGACTCGGGAGCACTGCCCTTCCCAATGCCCAGGTCCTAAGGTGAGAACGCCACTTAACAAAGGGGCTCCACGTAACCAAGAGGAAGGGCACTAGTGCGGCCGGAGAGGTTTGTCTCAAGAGCTGACCCTGCACTTCCCTTAGAAACCATGCCAGCAAGAAGAGCATGGAGTGAAATAGTTAAAGGAGTTGAGAGAAAAAAGCCCACCAACCTAGAACTCTGTATCTGTCAATATTCCAACTCAAAAGCAAAGCAAACAAAAACTCAGGACTTTCTCAGAGGAATAAAAATTGAGGCAATTTGTCACTAGGATACCTGTTGCACAAAAAAAAATGTTACATTCTTCAGGAAGAAGGAAAATTATAAGCTCAGAAACTTGGCTCTACACGAACAAAAGGGGGGCTTCAGAGAAGGAATAAATGAAGGTAAAAGATAAAGTATTTTGTTTTTCCTGTTGGGGGGCAGGTAATTAGGCTTGCTTATTTATTTTTAGAGGCGGTGATGGGGATTGAACCCAGGACCCTGTGCATGTTAAGCATGTGCTCTACCGCTGGGCTACACCCTCCCCCCGTTTTTCCTTTTCTTAACTGATCTAACAGATAACAGTGTGTTCAGAATAAGCATAGCAACAACGTATTGGGCATCATAGCTTGTGGGCAAGTGAGGCGAAGGGCGGCCGCGCTGTGAGGAGAGGAGGGAGGGGTGCGGAATGCCCTGCTTTAACGGGCCTGCGCTGCTCCGCAGGTGCATCCCCCGTGTCGCTGGGAAGGACGAGAGTTGGCTGTAAACGTGCACTGCAAACTCCAGGGCGCCCACCAAAGAAATACGTGGCCGGCGAGGCTGCTTCCAAGGCTTCCCGCGGCAGGGTCCCGAGGCTCCGACTGCCCCGCCGCTGACTCCGCAGCCTCACCGTCTGTCCCCCTCCGTGCTTGGCCGTCCCAGCCATCCCGTTCTTCCCGCAGCCCCCAAGAGCTCACTCCGGCCTCAGGACGCTGGCGCCTGCTGCGTGCGCGCTGTGCTGTTGCGACCCGGGTCCTCCCTGGCCTCGCTCCTCCCGGCGGCTCCGCTCTCTGCTCGGTTACGCTGTCCGAGCGAGCGTCGGGGACCAGCCTCCATCCTTGCTCTGTTTTGTTTCTCTCCACGGGACCTGCTCTCCCGGAGTGCGTGTGTATGTATTTTTAATTTGGCTATTGTCTCCATCCTCCTAGAATTTCAGTCCTGCAAGAACAGAGAATTTCTCTATTCACCGCTGTGTTTTGGTACCTGATACAACACGTGACACGTGGTGGCTGCTCAGTAAATATTTTTGAATCATGAAGAGGTAAGAAGGAGCTATGGGCCAGTCGTGAGCGCATAGGAAGGACTTCCCAGACAGCGCGGCCCGCCCAGGAAGCGTCCTCCTTTCGAGACAGACGCACCCCTGCTGCAGGGCACCGGAGCCGGCTGCGATCGGCCCCTTGCTTTGGTTTTCTGTTCACCGAGCAGCCTTCAGACGATCTGGGTCCACACCGTCTGCTCACAGGAGAGGGGCTCTGGTCAGGCCAGACTCCCGGCCACGCGGCGACCCTGACGTGCCCCCCCCCCCACCGCAGCCGCCCTGAGACCGCTCTGCAGGAGGTCAGACAGGGGGGAGAC